GGTTCTTTATGTGAAGAAAAACAGCATTAAAATCTACAGTACAGGTGTTTGCTACACCCCTATGCCTTAAGCATGATTGGTGCTGTATCTATTCAAGATTTACAACCATTTCTCTATACTGTATTCCAATAATAAGGGAAATATACTAGAAATTGATGATAGCACTCAAAAATGCTGAGTAAGATTCTTATCCTCATAAGGATAAGTGAAAAAAAGGAAAGAAAGAAAAGAAGCATGTAGCTTCGAGTGATAAAGAGTTCATTGCCAGAATCATAGAGGATTGTAGCTCACATCCTCAAATATATTTGATACAACTGTCCCTGGCTTTATCATATATTCAACTTCTTGGACTCAAATACTAGCTAGAGTTCGGCATTAAATTTGAAAAGAATGGTAACAGACTCAAGTTGGCACATTTTACAATAATAGAAAACAAATATTACATTGTATTACCAATTTAATAAGTTAAAAAATGATCACAATACAAAACTAATAATATATTGTTAAACAAGCATGGGATATCATTAAACAAGTACCTGTGGCGATCATGATCCCTGGAGCGCTCCCTAGACCTTGAATGTGACCTGTGGTTACTTCTAGAATCATAAGTCCGAGAGCACTCTTAATTCCTAGCACGACTTCAATCACTATACCTCTCACGATCTCTGCTCCTATGATCATAATCCCTCCCTCGGTCACGGCTATTCCCTTGGTCTCAGTCCCAACTTGATTCTCTCTCATGATCTCTGCTTCTTTCTTTTGATCTATACACCACCAATATAAAGGAGATCACAACACCCCCTCACCACCCAATGGTTTACCAAAAGGAAAATGGAAAAGAAACCACGTGAGGATTACCTCCTGTCATCATACCGATCAAGTTTATGGCTCTTGCTTCTCTCTTACTAAGAAAACAATAATCATCAAATACTACTGAATGCTTCTTTCAAAAAGCTAAATGCCACTTCAATTTAGCTAAATATAACATGCCATAAGAACCATTAGGAAAGAATTCTAATGGTGGTAGGCATAATTGGTAGGCAACTTACCCTGACCAAACTAGGCCTTCATCAGATTTATTGTCACAGATTTTAAACATATGAAAAGCTCATTTTTTTTCTCACATTACCTACAACAAACTCGGTTCTTGTACTTCTCTCCTATTTGATTTCATGTTTCCTTTTTCTTTCATTCTTTCACCAGAAAAAACTAATCTATCAAAATTGGTTGAGCACTTCATATTTGATACATTTTAAGCCCAATATGCACAGACAAGGTAGAAAATACTATGTTTTAAAGTCCAGCATCTACAAACAATCAAAAGAAATTGAAAAAAGGGAGATCTTATTCTTCTCTGAGGTCAGAAAAACTCACAGATGATGTTAACTGAGAATCTCTATAGAAGAATAAGAAGCATTATACCAGCACCTGACCAACATATTCACAATACAAACTTAAGGGCATCTGGAAAAGATGTATTAGTTTGCTATTTTACTAGAATCCGTCAAGTAACAGCATTCAAATAAAGTTGTGATTTTTTTAAAAAATAAAAATAATAGACCTAGTAAGTAGATTGTTCAGGCAATTTATACAACCAACACCTTGGATGCCAGGCACTATCCCTAGCCTAATGTAACACTTAAAGCAGAGCCACCATAGACAGTCAGCATATACTAAGCATGTAAATCATCTTACCTGAAGTTCTGCTAATTTATCATGGATTTGCATATAGCCTAAATGAAGTTTGCCTCCAAAATGATATGCTAAACGCTGGTACTGAAAGGAACAAGAAAAATCAAATCACTTTGACTAAGAAACTTAAAAATTGAAAAATATATATATTGCAATAGTATGCAATATAGATTATACAGTTTCCCAAATATTTATTATCTAACAATTGCATGATCTACAAGTACAAAAAACAGAAAAAGACGCACATTATGTAGCTGCAAAAGTTATTCTCGTAAAACTGGGCCCAAAAGCCTGCTGGTGACAAGGAGGTAAAATAGCTGGGTCAAAAGCTGAAGCACTTGAAACCCCAGACACTAACTTTTTGAAGCCCTTAGAAAGAAGATGAAAGGCTATGATGCAGAAGTAGAAGATAAAAAATGTACCTGTCATAAACACTCAAAAATGCTCCACAAATATGACAAACACATAGCTTCTAATCAGTCTGAAACAAAATTGGATCAAAAAGATTAGAGCAGATAGAATATTAATATATAAATGAACTAGAAGAAAATTAAACTAAAATCAAATTATGATAGGGGACTATTCATGCATTAATTATGCAAATCAAATTCATATTTTTCCAGTAAGGTCCAAGTGTGTCTAAGTTTTCTTATCTAGTTTTTATCATAGTTTTCCTTCTGTGAAACTGAAAGAAAGAAAAACAAAACTCACAATGCGAACATCAGCAGCAGTATACTTTGAGGAATCCAGAACAGGCTCCTGTTTGGCAAAGAGCTGAACATATATGGAAAAACAATTATCCACAAATAAGGCATACCAAGGAGAAGGAAATGGTGAAAGTTAATAAAAATCAATCTACAAAAATAACAGTATTAAATTCAGAAATTGAAACCTTCTTGAGTGCTTCAGCCTTTTATAACGCTTTTGTGCCTTTTCTACCATCCCATTCTCACCTAAACAACAATAAGAGAGCGAGAGAGACTATTAATAAAACACAGATAAGTACATCATGTATTCTTGAAAACTTTGTACAACATAGTTCAATAAAACACAGGTAAGTACAGTTCTGAAACTTGAAAAGAATGATGGTTTGAGGGAGATATGGAATGGACAATATCCAGGGGACTATTTTCCCAAACTAAAAGTTCTTAAACTCACCCGCATTCAAGAGCAATTAGCTCCTCCTCCTTTCTTCTTCCAGTCACTTCCCAATCTTGAGAAGCCTGTCGTGAGCGAAGCTACCTTCGATGAAATATTCCAATGCAAAAGACTTAGTAGTGAAGAAAGACCTGCAAATGCACCCACTAGTTTAAGTGAATTAAAGTTTTTTAAACTTAATGAGCTAAGACATCTTTGGAAGGAAGAAGGTGATCTAGAACCAGTTTAATTTCTACAACTTGAGAACTCTAGAAACGCTTGAGTGTAGCAAATTAATGAATTTAGTGCTATCCATTGCATTTTTCAATAATCTACAGAGTCTTGAAGTGTCCAAATGTCATGGACTTGTAAATTTAGTGAGATACACAACTGCTAAAAGCTTGGTGCATCTCACAAGAATGAGTATAACTAATTGTGAAATGGTAGAAGAAATTATTGCATGCTTGGAGGATGATGAGAAAGAAAGATGGAATTACCTTTACTGAACTCAAGTATTTGCAACTCCGTGATCTGCCTGCACTTGCAAGCTTTTCCTCAATGAAATGCAAGTTTGAATTCCGGCCCTTAGAAGAGGTGATTGTGAAGGATTGTCAAGTATGAAGATTTTCTTTGAGGAAATAAGTGCACCAAAACTGCAGAGAGTAAAATTGACAGAAGATGAAGATAAAGGGGAGCGAGAAGAAGAATTTAAGTTAGCATCAATCCAGTGTATTATATTTTAGAATTCAACAGAATGAGGGGATTTGGCGCCCCCCCCCACCCCCAAAAAAAAAAAAAAAAAAAAAACAGAAAGAGGGAGTGAATGAAACATTACCTTGTTTTGTTGATTTTGTTTTCTATATACGAATTGCATGAGCATGATCCTAGCACGTGTCCCACTACGACCCTTTCTCAAACTATTGATAGTTATGAGTTTTCCACTGTAACATCCACTGAATAGCGAAGTTGAAGAAACGAATTGAGAAACTTTAAGAAGCAAAGAATCAAAAATAATTACAAGTTCTAGACGCAACTGGATGATGAAATATATAATTCTCCTGGAGGAAATTAGAGGAAGATCGTGGTTGGAATGTATTTGTTGTTGGCAGTTGAAGGAGGCACGACCACGACCATCAATGCAGTGAAGAGAGAACGTGGAAGGTGGGTATTAAAGAAGATAACTGAAATTTGGGTTTCAGGG